GTGAGCAGGATTGAGATGACCTGCACCACGGTGTTGTCCTGGAGGTGACAGGGAAGGGACAAGTGGCACCGTGGGACACTCCCAGGGTGACTGGGATGGGACGAGGAGCACCCCAGGGGTGCTGGGGATGGGGGCACAGGCACCCACGGGTGCTGGGGCCGCAGGCAGAGGCACCCCAACGATGTCACGGGTGAGGTGAGCAGCACCCCAGGGATGACGGGGGTTGGATAAGCACCCCCCCCATGCAGGGGAGAGGGCGCTGGGCGAGGGGGGGGCGCTCCCCACCACCCCCTCCCACCGCCTCCCCTCACCCCACCGCGGCTGCCCCGATCCCCGGGGGTCGCACAGGAGGGATGGGGGGGGGTCGGCGGCCGCCAGAATCCCCCCGCTCTCCCCAGTTCCCCGGCGGGGCGGTGGCTCCATCGCGGTCCCCCCGCCCCCGGGGCGGGCTCGGCACCGTCCCGCCCCCGCCCCGCGCCTTATCAGCGGCGGGCGGGGGGCTCGCCCCACTCCCGCCCAGCGCAGCCGCCGCGGCGGGGCCGGCAGCACCCGACGTGCGGCACCATGGGCAGCCAGGGCTCCAAGGCGGCGGGCGGAGACCCCGACACCGCCAAGGCCAACGGGCAGGTGGGTACCGGGGGGAACCTCCTCGCGGCGCCGGGACCCCCCCGCGCCCCGTCGGGGCGGGCGGGAGCGGCGGAACAAAGGCGGCGGAGGGGGCGGCGGTGGTGCGGGCAAGGGGGTGGGTTCTTGTGTCCCCGGAGGTGGGGTGGGTGTTCTGCCGCCCGGAGGGACCCTCCTGCTCGGCGGGTACCGGGCGATGCGGCAGCGCCCGCGCCGCGCCCCGGGGCTCCCCCCGGCACCGGGCGGGTCCCGTCCGCGCCGCGCCCCGGGACCGGGAGTGGAGCGCGGGCGCCGCCCGGTGGCAGCGGGATGGCCCCCCCCCCATCCACCCCCCTCCCATCGTGGATATCCCCCCGGTGCGACCCTTCTTCGCCCAGGCTCGGTGCACCCCGTTTTCCTCGGCTGGATTTCACCCCCGCCCCCCCGGGACCCCCTTTTTCGCCGGTTGGGTGCCCCGCTCTGTGGACGGTGTTTCCCGTTTCCATCGGTTGAAAGCCCCCCCTTTTCCTCGGCTGTCCCCGTTTCCACCGTGTGGAAGCCCCCGTTTTCCTCGGCTGGGCACCCCCTCGGTGCCCAGTGCGCCCCTTTTCCCCGGCTAGGAGCCCCCTCTGTGCCCGGTGTTGTTTCCACCGGCTGAAAACCCCCCTTTTTCCCGGCTGGATGCCCCCCCCGGTGCCAGGTGCATCCCTTTTTTCCGGCTGGGTGCTCCCCAGTGCCCGGTGAGCCCCTTTTCCCCCATACGGGTGCCCCCCACCCCATCCCCGATACATCCCCTTTTCCCGGATGGAAGCCCCCTCTGTGCCCGGTGTTCCCGTTTCCACCGGCAGGAAAACCCCCCCTTTTCCCCATCTGGAATCCCCTCTACCACCCCGTTCCGTTTCGCCCGCTGGGAGCCCCCCCCCTCCCCTTTTTGGGTTGGGGGGCTCGGGGTTCGGGGTCGCGGTTTGAGGTCGGGGTTTGGGGTCTAACGCGGAGCTGCTCCATCCCCCCCCCCGCAGGAGAACGGCCACGTGATCTACAACGGGGACATGACGCCCAAGGTGGGGGTCGAGGTGTCCCCCCAGAACGGGAACGGCTCGGCTGAACCCCCCAAGGAGGAGAGCGAGGGCGAGCCGGGCGGGGGGGACGCCATCGAACCCGCCCCCCCCGCCGACGGGGGGGACCCCAAACCCGAAGAAGGGGCCGCGGCCCCCAAGGACGCCCCCAAGAAGAAGAAGAAGTTCTCGTTCAAGAAATCCTTCAAGCTGAGCGGGATCTCCTTTCGGAAGAACAAGAAGGAAGCCGGGGACTCCTCTGGCTCCTCTCCCACGGAGGAGCAGCAGGGCAAGGGCGAGGAGAGCCCCGCGGGGGGGGTGCAGCCCTCGGCTCCCCCCGAGGAGGGGTCGGCGGAGGAGCAGGGGGGCCCCGGGGAGGGCAGCGAGGGAGCTGAGCCCAAGGGGCAGGAGGGGGAAGCCGGCGGGAGCAAGGAGAAGAAGGAGGAGGAGGAGGAGGAGAAAGAGAAGCAGCAGCAGCAGCCGGCGGGGGAGAGCCAAGGAGACACAGCCAAACCCGAGGAGCCCTCGAAAGCCGCGGGGGCCGAGCCCACAACAAGCCCCGCGGCGGCGGTGGAGCAGAAGGAAGAGTAGATTCCACTTGGCATCGTCCTCACTGGAGACTCTCACGCCGTCCTCTCCATCCTGGAACACCACGGACTCGCCCACACCCCCCCCCAGCCCACCTAGAACTGACACCACTCCCCAGACCCCACACGCCCCCCTCGAGGTATCTCTTCCTTTCCCCCCCCTCCCCTCCTTTTTCCGCCCCCGGTAGAAAAAGCTGGTTTGGATTCCCACACCACTGCCACCACTTGGAGTAGTTTTACCTGAATCCTTTTAAAAAAAAAAAAAAAAAAACTGGGGGAGGAAGATTGTTATCCTGGACATTCACTGGAGTTTTACAGTTTGTAAGAAGAACAGATCCCACGTCCTGCTCTGGATCTCTGTGGCCTCCAGACTGTCCCTTCTCCTCCCAGCAGCTTTCCAAGCCCACTGACTGTTCAATGGATTTTAATTTTTTTTCTTTTTGTTTTTTTTTTTGTTTTGTTCTTTATTTCTCAGTTTACATTCCTGGTTCTGACTTCATTTAAAGTATTTTGTGCTTTTTATAGAAATCGATGGTTTAAAAGCTAATCTGGTTAGTTTTTTATAATGTCTTATATTGGCTTAAAACCATAAAAGCTTGTAAGTCCGCTGTGTTTAATTCTGCTTCTAAGGGATAACTTTTAGGGTGTGGGGTGGAGAGAGGGGGCCCTGCCAGCTGTATAATGTGAAGCAAAACGTTGTTTTCTCTGTAAATAATTTTTTTAATGGCCAAACCACTTGATTTGCAATTTTTCTAACTTGTAAAAAAAAAAAAAAAAAAAAGCAGGAAAAAAAAAGAAACCAAACCACAAAACAAAAAAAAAAAAAAGCTGTACGGGGCTTTCTTGTAACATTTGAAAGGAATAAATGGTGACCCCTTTATGGGAGAGCTCGAGTCCTTCTTGTCCTGGATGCCAGGGAAGGGCCAAGGGAAGATGGCAGTTGCTTATTTAGTTCAACAGCTGCTGCATTTAATCACTGCTCACACTTAATTGACTTGCAGCAGATGTAGAGCCACAGCCACAAAGGACTTTCCCACACCAGCCCTGTCCCTACCCCGGGATTGCTGCTCAACTGGCTGCTGGGGACCTGTTTTTGTAGAGATCCAACCCAATTTTTCCTGGTGTGGGGGGTTGTGGTGGGTTGAAAAATCCGGTATTTTTCTCACAATGAGGGTTACTGGGTGAAATTCCCATTTTCCAGCGTGGTGTCTCTGGTTTAAATTGGTTTTGGGGTTTTTTTTTGTGTTTTTTTTTTTTTTTTTTAGTGGCTTTAGAGTAGGATTAGCTCCTCTCTGCTGAAAAGAGCACAAAAGGCGTGCGCTGGGAGCAAAGATTTCCTTAACAAAGGGAAATCCAAGGGCACAATGGTGCCTCTATCCCTTCTCCTGTCACCTGCACAGGGGTTGAGGTGGCTTTTCCCGAGGAAAAGTGGCTTTTTTCCCAAGGAAGGAAGGAAGGAGCACAGCCCGGGGGGGAGCTGCTCCCACCAGCCCCTCCATTTCATGGCCTGCTCCCAATTCCCATCCCAGCTCCCAATTCCCACCTGCTCCTGCTGTTTTGGCTGGCAAAGAAGATGGAGAAGAGCAAAAAAAAAAAAACCCATTGTTTGCCCAACAGGCACCACCCTGGGAAGGGGTGAGGACCATCCAGGCTCCTCCCGAGCCTCGAGGTAGGTGGAAATGCCCCAAAAGTCCTTGGTTTTTTTTGTGCAGCACATCCCTCTGGGAAGCAAAAACAAGGGACCTGCTTCCCAAGGGAGCAGGGGAGCCATCCCTAGTCATGGAGGGGGTGGAGTGGGGTGAAACAAATGGGGTGTTCTGCCCCATTTTGAAGCAGAGCTGCCCTTTCTGAGCCTGCCCGGGGTCTGTCACATCCCGGTGCATCCGCCCGAGCTGCATCGTGGCAGCCATTTTAGGAATCCCTGGAAAACAGAGGGATTGCGGATGCACTCGGCACCGGGGGGGGGGACAGGGTTGGAGGGTGGCTTTTGTTCCAGGAGGGGAGGATTTGCTCGTGTGCTCTGGTGAAAGGGATAACGGGGTTCCCCCCAAGGCAGGGGGGAAAATGTTTGGGAAGTCAACTGTGCCCACACAAAGCTGCTTTTTTTTTTAAGCTGTAAAAAACCAGCAGAGTTGGCTCCTGTGGCCATTTCAGGTGTGATCAGCTGCACAATTAACCTGCTCCTAATTAAATTAAGAGAATTTTTGTTCGCTCCAACGCAAGGTAAAACCACTTAAGCTCATCCAAATGGTGAATTAAGCTCATCCAAATGGTGAATTAAGTTCAGCCCTTCCCATCATTAATTATTCCTTTTCCAGACGAGCTTTGAGCACCACAAAGTGCTGCAAGTCCAACCCCAAACCTGGTTAGCACCAGGGATGCTGCTGCTGGAGGAGAACCCGGCTGGAATTTGGGAGAGACAGAAAAACCACCCCAGTGACCCTCGGTTGGAGCTGTGAGCAAATAAACCCCCCCAAAACTGTGGTGTTTTGAGTCACCTTTCCCAGAGAGAGGAGCCAGGGGGAGAATTTCAAGGCTGTTTTGTAAAATCCAAGGGAAAAGGAAAAAAAATAACAAAAAACCAAAAAATTACCCCCCCCAAAAAAACCAAAACCAAACCAAACCAGAAAAACAAACCACAAAAAAACCTAAAAAAACCCCCAAACATTTACAAATTAGATTAAAGCAATTTTTTCAGGGAAGAGGGGAAAAAAGTAACAAAAATCAGACATTTACAAAAGAAACTGATTTTTCACCGAGTAGATTCTAAACAAAACATTTTGGTGGATGGGATTAAACATTCACCTCTCTTCCCAAATATTGTTACACCTGGAATTTTTTGTTGGGATCTACATTACATCCAGCTGTGGCTCTGAAAATGAACTGACCCCCCCCACCCACTGGAGTGTCCCCTCTGAGTAGAAAGCAGGCCAGACTCACACCAACCATAGAAATGTACCAGTTTTTATTAAAAAGATTCTCAAAATTCAAAATAAACGCATCTTTAAAAAACCACAATATATTTCCCCTCCCTTCCCCTCCCCTCCCTCCCCCCCCAGACACAAAGTTACACTGATCTCTTCTTCTCTGGCTTCACATACAAACACTGAAGAGCAGGAGTGACACCCGGATCCAAAAGAGACTAAAAAACTCACGGTGGAAAACGGGAAGGGAGGGGAGAGGGGAGGAAAGAAGCGTTTTAAAAAAATAAACCCTTTGAAAAAATAACCTGTGTGAAGTTTTTAGCAGCATTATTAGAGTTGAAACCCTCGGCAGCGCTCCCGGGGGAGGTTCCAGATCCTCCCCTGAGGGCCGGAGGAATCCCCCTGAGGAAGGAGAGCAGCGAGTCGGGACTGCCTGAAAACCAAACTTCTCCCCCGAAAGCTCGGCTAAGGATCAGCTGTACAAAAGGAGATGCTAAAGAAAGGGGCAGAGCCGGTCACAAAAGACCTTCGGGGGGTGAGATAATGTGTGGGAGGAGGAAAAAGGAGCTGTAAAGAGCGTTCAGAGCCCCATCTGCTGTTCCCTCAGGAAGGCAACAGATAAAAAAAAAGGTTCTTCGTATTTACTGGCCTTGGGAGGAAAATTCAATTTGAAAACGTTTGTAACTTCAGGTCGGAAAAAAAAAAGAAAAAAAAAATAGTATTTCAGTCAGTGACAACACATCAACTAAATTCTCAGCCAGGCTGGGGGCTGGGCTGGAGAGGGATTGGGGATTTCTGCAGTGGTTTCAGCCCAGGACGCGGATCAGTTCTGGGAGCCAAGGGCAGAAAAGCAGGAAAAACAAAGCCAAAGGGGCAGTAACTCACTTTCCCCCCCACAAAGAGGGGCACAGGTATAGAAAAAACCAGGTATAAAAGCTCCATCCCTTCCCTTCCTCGAGGTGCTGCCACACTCCCTGGATCTGCCACATCTCGGAAAACTGAGCCACCACACACGGGTGGTTTTCATTTTCCAGATCTGGGCTCTGGGGCTGATTCACTTAAAAAAAAAAAAAAAATTAAAAAAAATCACTTTTCAGGTAGTTTTTAAGCTGCTTCATCTCTTTCCACGAGTTTGCTGCAGGGAGGAACCAACTCTATTCAAGAACTGCACTATTTGACCCTGAGAAGTGGCACCAGCTTGCAGTTAACTTGCCACAGTGGAATCAAACTGAAGACCAAAGGAATAGTCTCTCACAGGCTTCATTTGGGAACTCGGATTCTCCCATAAAACACCACCAAAAAAAAAAAGAAAAAAAAAAAAAGAAGAAGAATAAAAGAACCAAACAAAAAGAATTCATGGCCATCTTTCCACCTAACCTGAAATGCAGATACTACTTCTACTTAAATTATTCTTTTCCAAGGTTATTTCAGAGGAGAGAGTAAAGGAAGTGATTTTTTTTTGTTTGTTTGTTTGTTTGTTTTGTTTACAGACACACTAAGGAGGCAGTGGAAGGCAAGAGTGAAAACTTCCCAGTCACCAAATCTGGGCAGTGCAGGTCTGGCTGCTCCGCAGAATCCTCCCCTCTGCTCCCAGTGAGGAGTGCAGCAAGGAATAATTTACAGTCCTCAAGTCATTTATACAATTATATAGAAATATATACAGAAACATATATAAAATATAAATCCTGTGGAATAGGAGGCAACCCGGGAGCTAAAAACCTACGACAAACTACGCACGGACAGGCCCGTCCAGCTCAGGTGGATTTTGGCTCTTCCTTCGCCCTGGGGAAGCAAGAAGGGAAGGGTTTGGTTTAAACAGGCAGCTTGAGCTGTGCCCAGGCTCTAACAACAAGCCAGAGCTGCAGCCTTAGAAGTGCTGCTCATCTGGCCCGTCTTCAGCTAAAATTTATAACATAGTGCTGAACAGAGGAGCAGTGTTTTGATTTTGATTTTTTTAAGCAGCATTTTTGAGCCCTGAGAAGGCTCTCACAGCGTTTTATCAGGTGGGCTGCTCAACACCTGCAAACTTCTGCCCGTTAAGAACCTGTGACAAAGCCAGCCCGAGCTGCCACATCAACCCCTCAACCCTCCCAGCAGACTCCAGACTCACCCTTTGGGTTCTGCTTTCTCCTCTTTCACTTTTTCCTCTTCCTTCTCATCTAGGAAAAAAACAAAGACACATGGCAGTGCAGTGGGAAAGGACCAGCCAGGCAGAGCTCCAGGTCCCAGCTCTCCTGCTCACCTTTTTTCTCCTCTTCCTCCTTTTCCTCCTCTGCCTTCACACGCTTGGCTTTCTTAAAGTTGGCGACGTTTTTGCGCCCTCCTTCCCCTTCATCCTCAGAGTCAGAGAATTCCTCATCACAGGATATTCTCTTGTTGGAATTGCGGACTGAGTGTGAAGAGGACAGAGGTTGGTTGAGATTTACAAGTCAGGAGGCTCCAGGCACTAATTCTTTGGGTACATCTACTCACTGGAGTGAACTGAGGAGCCTACCTAAGTCAGGATTAGGCCACGATAAAAACACTGTACCTGCTTGCATCTTTTAACTCATCCCTCCTCACTGCTCATGCCCAGGATCCAAGATCACATGGACAACTTGGATTAGGTACAGTGTGATGTCTAGACTTGACAGCATAAGCAGGTTAACCAGCCTCCCACTGAGAAATCTGTCTGCCAGATCCTAAAGGCCAATCTGGCTCCAAACCACCATTTCCACTTCTGGCATCACACCTGACAGTCTCCCAGAAAGGGTTCTGTCCCAGCACCTACATCCCAGGAACTGCTTGAGCTCTCACATTAAAGTCTGGAGTTTCTCCACTATGGAAATCATCTGGCAAAGGGTGCAGTGCTCAGCATCAGGGCTTCATCTCACAAAACACAAAACGGATTCAAACCGAGACTCCAGAACCGGGCAGATCTAAATCCTACATCCTCCCCCTCCTGCAGCTCATGGCTCTTTGGCACCCAGCCAGACACAAGCACCTACTTGAAATGCGTTTCTCGGGGTCATCTTCCTCTTCATCTCCACTGTCCTCCTGAACAGCATCCTCGGGGATGGGCTGCATCTGCACCCCGGGGGCGTGCGGGAGCATGCGCAGGTTCTCAAAGAGACGCTGCCTGGAGCCGCCCAGGGAAGGAACAGTTTGGTCAGCAGGTGCCTCCCTGGAGGTCCCAGGGAAGGGCCAGTCCCCAGGAGGAGCAATCACTTACTTGATCTTCTCGAGGTACTCGTTGGTGTTCTGGTTGGTCATGTTCGAGGGGCTGATGTGGAGCTTGAAGTCTGGCCCGAAGTACTCGAAGTAGTCATTGTATGGAAGCTCTGCGGGCAAATGAAAAGGAATAAACACCAAGCTACCACCAGAATGGAGAAAGGAACAGCTACAAGCAAATCAGGGCATCCAAAAGCTCTCCCACAGAAACAACCAAGAGGTAACAAAAGCAATCTCGGCATTCCTGCCTCTGCCCCAGCAACACCTCTTCCCTGAGCTGTTCTAGAATGTCACTGGCCCTCAGTCTGGGAGAATTACCATTGGGAATTTCGGTGTCCAAAGCCACAGCAGTCTCATAGGTCCAGCACCTGGCCACGTTCCTGATGGTGTAGCCGCCCCCTCCCAGCATCAGCATGGGCAAGTTAAAACTTTTCACAAACTCCACACACTTGGCATGACCTGCAGAAAAAGCAGTGGGGGGGGGAGAAAAGGTCACCTCATGGCATAAGAACACACTTTTCCATGGAATCTCAGTGATGCCAGCTCGGCACAGGCACTGTGTGCTCCTACCTTTGATGGTGAGGTTGAAGCAGCCCAGCCTGTCCCCGGAGAGGGAATCTGATCCGCACTGCAGGACAACAGCACTCGGCTGGAATGTCTCCATGACTTTGGAGATCACCTAAACAACAAAGCCCTTGTTACACGCTCTGCACAGGACACTGTCAAAGCAGCACAGTGCCACCCATGTCAGCCAGGGCCACGAAGACATCCCTGGTGCTCCCACAGCTGCTGACTCCCCTGCCCCAGAACACTGGGGCTCTCACGCGCTGGAGCTCCCGGACAGGCCGCGATTGTTCGGGGGGAATAGAGCCCCTGGTGAGGCTCAGCACAGAAAACTCAATCAGCCTCCCCAAAGAATGGCTCCAGGGACAAAGTGTGACCCACTGAGCGAGGAGGAGTTCACTTACAGGCTTGAATATGGCTTCATAGGACTCGTCGTCGATGCCGTCCCGGAGGGGATAGTTCACAGCGTAGTACTTGCCTTTGCCTGCACCAATGTCCTGTTGGAGGGAGAGGGGAGAGACCACAGCTCACCAGAAGTCCAGCTGGAACACAGAAACTGTGCTCCAAAGCAGGAAGGGAAGCCTGGAATTCCAGCAGTGTAATCCCAATATTAAGCCCAGCCCGCAGTCCCAGTCTGGGCTGACCACGTCACTGCTTTAAAATTATATATATTTTCATTTCTATTATCACACTCATACACAGGTGTCTTATTAAAAATAACTTGTTAAAAATTATTAATTCATTCCTGGTGCACAGTGGTTGCATCAGGATAAAAATGCTGCAGCTGCATCAGCAACAAACTCTGGGCAGGGCTGAAAAAACACAACTCATGGGTGAAAGGCAGGAGAATTTAGATCAGAAAAATGTAATTTCACTAGAAAAGCACATAAAAAGAGGTAAAGAACCCTTCACCCCTGAGAAATGGGGCATGGAAGTGCCAGAAGTCACAGAGGGACACCCGGATCTACCTGAGTGACACAGTTACCACCAGAACTCATTAACACAAAGAACTGAGCCACAGGAAGAAATGCCAACAGGATAAATCCACTCAGAAACCTTCCCCCAAGAGCTTGGGTGACCAAGCAGCTACAGGTGACCAACACACCATTTTCAGAGCCCCTTTTCTCAGCAAAATAACAGTGACACCAAAGCCTTGGGTTCAATACACGACCCCGGGCACAAAGCTCCCACTCCACCAGCTGAACCTACACCTCTGCCCTCAGGAAAAAGGGTGTCACTGTGAGAGCAGGAGAGCAGTGGCAGATGGAAAAGGGCAAATTCCAGGGCAATTTGCAGCCAGGCCTTCAGTCTCACCCGCAGGTCCCCTGTTCCTGGGAAGTACTCCCCGTACTTATGGAAGGACACGGTCATGACACGGTCCGTGGTGTAAAAGGCCTCCTCCACCCCGTCCCCGTGGTGAATGTCGATGTCGATGTACAGCACCCTCTGGTGATACCTGGGGGGGGCACAAAGGAGCCAGGATATTCCATTTATTCAGAGTAAAAACTGCCTTCACCAGCAGAGAAAACAAGAACAAAGGAATCTGGGGCTGGTTCCCAGGCTCCACAAGGAATAGAGCAGTGGAGGAGGGACACACGCCTTGGTCAGCGGTGGAACAGACCCACAGGGGAAAATAAAGTGCCTTTTGCTGCTGAGGGCAGACTCGGCTCAGTTTATTCAGATTCAGCCAAGAAACTGCATTTTTATGCCCAAGCCTCCCACTGAGGTTTGCCCAGAGCCAGGAGCTGTCACACGTGCCAGCTGTGCCCTCTTTTCCAGGGTGGGTGGCAGAGGGAAGGGACAAAGGGCACCAGCACAACGCTCCAGAAGCCTCTGCTCCCTGCACAGCGGATAACACAGACATCCCTGGAGGAGACACCCCAAAAGCTGACTCAGCCCTTCCTGGGAAAACACAGCTCCAAAAAAGGCACCAAGAAGGAAAGGCTGGGAAGGAGGAGCAGAGGGGTAGATGGTGCTGCCCTTACTTCAGGAGCTCCAGGATGGCCAGGACGATGTCGTTGACGTAACAGAAGCCAGAAGCCTCCGACTTCTTGGCGTGGTGGAGGCCTCCTGCCCAGTTCACTGCAATGTCTGTCTGCTGCTTGTTCAGCTTCACTGCACTGGCTGGGGGGGGACAGTTAGAGAAGGTCAAAACCAGAGCAAAGGGTCTGTGGCAGGGATGGGCCCTTCCCATGGTGCTGCTCATGGGAGGGTTTGGGTCCCGCACAGAGCACGAGGGTTTAACACTGGATGTGTCCACAAACTGATAAAGAAAAAGGAAGGGAAGGGGAAAGGGGGAAAAGGGGGAAAAAAGGGGGAAAAGGAAGAAAGGGGAAAAACGGGAAAAAAGAAGGAAAAAGGGGGAAGGGGGGGAAAAAAGGGGAAAGGGGAAAAAAGGGGAAAGGGGAAAAAAGGGGAAAGGGGAAAAAA